AGAGAAGGGTGGGGACAGAAGACAAAAAAGTAAACGAAGATTAGGATATCTGAGCAGCCGTCCAGTTATCATTACCCACCCCCTCGATGCAATGGGCAGCACCGCATTTATTATCCTAGGCCACGATTGATGTAGTACGGAATTCTTTATAGTTTGTGTATTATTGGAGGTTTATGGACGGATACTGTTGGCTGTCCAGCTACTACGCAGGAGCAGGATTAGGATTCTCAACCAAAGCCTTTAGTCCTGATAAGAATCTAACCGTAATGCAATGGATGAATCGAATTTGAGTCCTATTTACTTTGATCGATTACTCCCCCACCATTTTTACAGACCAAAACACCAATTCTAGTCGAACCCCAGCCTGAAGGACAAGGGAATTGGACTTTTGTCTGACCTCAAGCCTTCGACCTTCCAGGCATGATTAGCTCTATGGCCTGACTAACACCATCCTCTGTAGCTCATTGGGTCGAGGAGAGGCACAAGCCATGACAGCACGTCAAGGTGAGGTCTTTTTGTGATGGACTTAATTAGATGTTATTTTTTTAGCTTTAAACTCTCATCTATATTATTAAAACTGGGACTATCAAATTTCGATTAGGCATGTCTTCATTCGGAATCGAAATATTTCAATTCACAATCAACTCAAACCGTTACTTGAACAAACAACTCTCCATAGGTGAAAATCGATGGCCGATGTTTCAGTCGCATTTAAAAACAGCTGGTCGAATGACCTCGCCGGAGTGTACCGATAATTTAATCCAATAGGATTAGGGCCACTATCTAAAACCTAACTGTATTGCAACTATTGTCAATATCACTCCTATTGGTTATGGTTCGTGGAAAAGACTAATGAAATAGTGCTACGAGCAATTTCTCTGGTCCTGCTTTGCGCACATAAGTGAATGTGTTGTCTTCTTTGAACTTCAAATGACTGAAATCAATTTGACCACGACGGTTAATGTTATCACTATTAGAATAGATCTATTCTCATAACAATTCGTGTTTGTTTCACAGAATACGAACACTTGACATTTCAGTTTCGTGACCATGAGTTTCATCTGAAGGCTGAGAAATTCGTAGCAGACACAAAGATAAAATCAACCGGTCATTCGTCACATGGATTATAACCATGTTGGTACACTGAATCAAACTTACAAGTTCCTCCTTCGATATGTGCGTGTCGTCATCCATTTCACTGTGGATTGGGCGTGAATGAGGAAAGCGGGAATAGTGGATCAGTCATACTACATCACATAGCTAGTTAGACGCTCAATTCTTTGAGCAAAGATAAAACACAATCAATCAACCCATGTTGAAACCAATGTCATGGATTGGTTTCATTCGTGTCCGTGAACCGATATTTGGATCATCTATAGTTATCGTTTATTTGCAAGAAGAATGTAACAACGGTTTAATTATTTGTGTTTGAACAAATTTCGAGCAATTCACACGATTTTACATACTGCGAGTGTACCTGACTTTGAGAAAGACCAGCGACAAGGTGGATTGCCGAAGAGAACGACGAACTACGAGTTGTAATCGGATACATCCATGTTAGCGAGTCAACCTTGTTTATTGGGGAATCTTGTCGAGACTAAGGCAGTGAGCTCCTTTGCAATGACATTGGCGTCGTACGGCGAAGGGACAGCGGTTGAGGCGGTAGTGGTGGTCCAGTAGTTGAAGGCTCCATCGATTTGAACTACAGTCCTACATTCAGATCTCAGCACCACTGGCCAGTTTTCCTGATTCCGATTGTCTCCCACGAAGAATTTTATTGGTTACAGCTCTATTATTAGAACCCATTGTTCTATTTAACATTTAGTGAATGAAAAAATAAACAAAACATTACCCATTATTGGTGGTGGTGATCACTTACTTTGATTCGCAAGCACGTTCGGAGAAAATGCGTAAAATAAATTTCGCCTCCTTATTCGGTTCATAGGTGGATGGTATGATCACATACTCGCCCGGTTCCAATTTATGCCGGCCGCAAACTTCACGCATATTTGTGAATGTGGGTGAACGGGCCACGGTTTGATTGGATAAGAAGAATGCTCTACCTAACAGTCCGTCTCTGTTTCGATCGGTCAGCTAACATAAGCAGGTGTTGTTTTTGATCCATTCATGGGTGAATGTAAGGAAAAAAGAGAATTGTACTGTTTAGATTTTAGTGCAGCTGAGCTTTATGAAGGTTTAGTGAAAAAGTTCACTAAATCATGAACTTTCAATAATGGGTACTACATTTTGAGGGAAAAACGCATCCTCACGTTATTTTGTCATTCAGATTAGAAACATTCGTTCCAGAATCTCTTGAAATACTAGCTTGATAAAAGTTTAATTAGTAGTAATAATAATAATAATAATAGTGTTTCTTCTCTCTTGATTTACCTAGTAGCTTACCAACGTCCAATCAGTTTATAGGAAGGAAACCACAGTCAGCCTACAATGGGTGGAAACGTAGCACAACCGTGATAGGATTCCAGGGCACGAGCTGACGGTCTAGGGTGCTGTGGTGATCCTAGCCTACGAGATGACGCACACCACGGAGTGATAAGTTACTATTTTGGACAACTGTGATCAGTCAAGCTCCCCAGGTAACGTCAGCAATGCGCGTACGTGTCACAGTTTCCGGACTACAAACCATAGGCTGATTATATCAACCAGAAATCGTGCAGCCCATGCAGAAGCTGAACAACAACAGAAATACTAGGACACCCTTGGCAGAGGCTTGGATGACCAATAGATTTATTTTGGACATATTATTTAATCCACCTGATTTCATTTAATAAAGGAACGGCTATTCCTGTGGCCTTTTCCTCGCGTTTTGGTTACGTGGGACACTGCGTACAAGTGTGTCCGTCATTGCTAGTCCGTGATTTGTAATCCGTGATTCATATTTAGTGATCAGTGTGTACTACTATAAGTACTACTATTACTACAATTATCACAGTTACTCGACTACCATAGACTCTATGTAATAGTCATTCGACTTAACCACGACCTCTATGATAATGTGATGATGACCCATGCTGCCTGATTGCTTCAGTTTCTAGTCCTGTAGCTTTGGGCAAATGTTGGAAGTATGTCATATTTGGAAGGTTCTCAGAGGTGAAAACACATTATTCATTTTTGATACAATCAAATGAATCTATCGCGCATCCGCCCTGTTGTTAAATTGTCCCATTTATCAAAGTTCCCCATTAACATCATTTTATCGATCTCAATGTAGTCATTCATCGTTGTCTTTTTGAATCCAAACTTGGAACAACTACATCCCACAATTCTTTTAACAGATTTCCACTCCCTCAGTTTGTGCGACAGAATAAGGTCTATGGCTGGGCTACAAACAGGACGGTCAGTATACCGTGAACCCGGAGTCAGAAACCAAAAGGGATTATGAGAATCTGTATTCCGTGAGGAAATAATAGATTTTGGCAAAGGTGCTGTTATTTAAACGACAAATTACACGTATCAGAAAATATATCATTCGTGAATCACTTGCAAAACCAAATTGTGAAACAGCTCCATCCTGAGGCCAACTAAGAAGAATAATTCTACCGGAGCAGATCAATTACGATTCGTGAGTTATTGTCATTTTCCGACAAGGTGGAAGAGTTCAACTAAGAAGCAGCGGTTCACCCTCAAGGAAGTCTGGGACACTCACACGATAGATGGCATATCCGATGGTGTGTAGCTCCATGGACACATCACGGCGACTCTTTTGCATCAACCCCACAATCAGAGTTCCACGATTGTCGTCATCCGTTTCGTCCGGATCGGTCACTTCTACCCGAAACTGAGGATTCAGGTGAAACGTATCTATTTGGTGCAGGGATGGGGACGGCCAACGTATGAATGTGTGAATTAACAGATTGGAAAAAACAGTAATTATGCTATGTGAACTACTGGTCTACATGAAATAAATCGTTCTCAGACTGATCTTAGGCCATTGAAGTCATACATAGCTCGACCGCCCCACCCCACCTCCCTCGTGAAAAACAACATAAAACTAGGGACAATCTAAGACAGTCAATAGGTCGGATTTCGCTATTCAATTTGAATCCCCGACTTAGAGAAAAGCAAAGCAAAAGTAGAACCAGGAATAGAACAATAAAAGCGAATGGCTGCTGTGACACCCTATCTGGCTGGGTCTAGCTAGCATCATTCTATTCTGATTCCCTGTTGTTCTCCACGCACCCACTGGATTTGTGTCCGATAAGACCAGATCCTATTGACACAAACGTTCATGCTATAGACCTTGCTATTAGGCGGCTCTTCAAACAGCCTAAAGGCAGGTTGTCCCACTGGAATCAGTGAAATATATTTGGATGGAGAATGTTTGGACTAACCTATTCGGTTTTTGTTCAGAGGTACCAGGCACTGTTGATGACCTCAGATGTGGGTTTCACCTCTGAGGGGATCGTTAATTTTCACTAGTTGAATGCATTAAAATGCGATGAAAATGTTTGTACTGGCCAACAAAGAGCACTGTACAGCTATATCGGCCTGTTTTAGGCCCGCCAGTAGTGTGTACGTTTTGGGTCCCAGTGTCAGGACTCGAACCGCCAACACTCGGGTCGGAACTTCACACCTTTACCCTAAGCTACATAGCCGATGGTCATCACCTTCGTCCAATGGCTAGATCAATTTAGACAGGGAATATTTGGATTGGCCCATTCGTTTTTTTTCACAGGCACCAGGCACTGCGAATGATCTTCGGTGTGTGTTTCACTCCTCGAGAGATGATTTATTCCCCTTTCAGAAATGACAGGTCATCAAATGATGGTCGAATTGAACGTTGTGACCTAAATTTACTACGGACACTCACCGCCGTTCTTTTCATCTGATATACTACGCTTGAATGAGTAGTACGCATACACAACGAAGAATCTGTGGAAATCATGAAGAACGTTAACATAATTTCTCATGTTCCAGTTCTACAGAAAATAGTCATCGACAGGAGCGTGGTCAAACAGCAAGTAATAAAGGTAATGATTACAAAGAACGTTTCAAAAATTTCATAAAATAAATTTTCTCAGATTTGAACGTAAAAGCAGTGATAAGCGTTTGTTACCGTTTCGTCAGTAGTTAGCTCATAATGATATATATATATATATACATATATAAAAGCTAGAGGAGCTTCATGGGGTTCGTTGTGATGTTGCAAGAACGGTAGGTTTTAATTTAAGAAATAACAAACAATTGAAGTAAAATGAGTGAAAGCAAAGAGTTATCCGCGGAGTTACATGCAACGAACATTTATGTACAAATAGACGTGTTCCCTGATTCATGTAGGTCAACCATTCGCATCCCTTCAAGGTTAGTGTCTGCCTTTTCCAGGATTTTGGAAGTCTAGCCAACAACCCTTCCCAAAGTGTGATTTGTAAACTTAGTATGTTCGGATTTTATCGCT